CCCGACTCCATCCCTGCCAGGAGTTCCCGGTCTCAGACCCAAAAAATTCCCAAAAATCCGCCCCAAATCCCCCCCAAAATTCCCGAAAATTTTCCCAAAACTCTCAGTCCCCCCCCAATTCCCAAAAATCCCCTCAATCCTTCCCCAAATTCCTGGAATTTCCCCCAATCCCTCCCAGAATTTAAAAAAGATCCATCAAAATTCCCGAAAATCCCCCGAACTCCCAAAAACCTCTCCCAATCCCTTCCAAAAATTCCCTCAAAATCCCCCAAATCCTCCCCAGAATTCCCGGAATTTCCTTTTCCAGCGGCTCGGGATTTCGGGATCGGAGCCGCCCGCGGGAATCCCGGGATGAGGCTCCGGGAAGGGATCCCAAAATTCCGGGATTTGGGATCCGCGTTCGGCTCCTTCCCATCGGAATTCCGGGATTTGGAATTTCGGGACTCGCAGCATTCCCGGTTCCCGCCTGCTTTTCCCGATATTTAATCCCAATATTTAATCCCGGTGTTTATTCCTGATATTTTTTCTCGCCATTCCCGGTGTTTATTCCCGGTGTTTATTCCCGGTGTTTATTCCTGTCATTCCCAGTGTTTATTCCCGCTATTCCCGCTATTTTTCCCTGCCATTCCCGATATTTTTTCCCGCCATTCCCGGGGTTTATTCCCGGGGTTTATTCCTGGGACCTTCCTTGAGCCGCGGCCCAGCCGGGACCCCCCAATTCCCGAGGAATTCCCGGGATCCCGTCCCTCTGTTCCGGCCATTCCCAAAACTTTCCTGGGAGCCGGGAGAGCCCCGCTGCCCCCGGGCGGTCCCGGAATTCCCAGGATTTCCCCGAATTCCCGGGATTTCCCCGAATTCCCAGGATTTCCCCGAATTCCCGGGATTTCCCCCCCGAATTCCCGGGATTTTCCCGAATTCCCAGATCTCCCCCCCGAATTCCCGGGATTTCCCCGAATTCCCAGGATTTCCCCCCCGAATTCCCGGGCGGTCCCGGAATTCCCAGGATTTTCCCGAATTCCCAGGATTTCCTCCCCGAATTCCCGGGATTTTCCCGAATTCCCAGATCTCCCCCCCGAATTCCCGGGATTTCCCCGAATTCCCAGGATTTCCCCGAATTCCCAGGATTTCCCCGAATTCCCAGGATTTCCCCGAATTCCCAGGATTTCCCCGAATTCCCAGGATTTCCCCGAATTCCCAGGATTTCCCCGAATTCCCAGGATTTCCCCGAATTCCCAGGATTTCCCCGAATTCCCAGGATTTCCCCGAATTCCCAGGATTTCCCCGAATTCCCAGGATTTCCCCGAATTCCCAGGATTTCCCCGAATTCCCAGGATTTCCCCGAATTCCCAGGATTTCCCCGAATTCCCAGGATTTCCCCGAATTCCCAGGATTTCCCCGAATTCCCAGGATTTCCCCGAATTCCCAGGATTTCCCCGAATTCCCAGGATTTCCCCGAATTCCCAGGATTTCCCCGAATTCCCAGGATTTCCCCGAATTCCCAGGATTTCCCCGAATTCCCAGGATTTCCCCGAATTCCCAGGATTTCCCCGAATTCCCAGGATTTCCCCGAATTCCCAGGATTTCCCCGAATTCCCAGGATTTCCCCGAATTCCCAGGATTTCCCCGAATTCCCAGGATTTCCCCGAATTCCCAGGATTTCCCCGAATTCCCAGGATTTCCCCGAATTCCCAGGATTTCCCCGAATTCCCAGGATTTCCCCGAATTCCCAGGATTTCCCCGAATTCCCAGGATTTCCCCGAATTCCCAGGATTTCCCCGAATTCCCAGGATTTCCCCGAATTCCCAGGATTTCCCCGAATTCCCAGGATTTCCCCGAATTCCCAGGATTTCCCCGAATTCCCAGGATTTCCCCGAATTCCCAGGATTTCCCCGAATTCCCAGGATTTCCCCGAATTCCCAGGATTTCCCCGAATTCCCAGGATTTCCCCGAATTCCCAGGATTTCCCCGAATTCCCAGGATTTCCCCGAATTCCCAGGATTTCCCCGAATTCCCAGGATTTCCCCGAATTCCCAGGATTTCCCCGAATTCCCAGGATTTCCCCGAATTCCCAGGATTTCCCCGAATTCCCAGGATTTCCCCGAATTCCCAGGATTTCCCCGAATTCCCAGGATTTCCCCGAATTCCCAGGATTTCCCCGAATTCCCAGGATTTCCCCGAATTCCCAGGATTTCCCCGAATTCCCAGGATTTCCCCGAATTCCCAGGATTTCCCCGAATTCCCAGGATTTCCCCGAATTCCCAGGATTTCCCCGAATTCCCAGGATTTCCCCGAATTCCCAGGATTTCCCCGAATTCCCAGGATTTCCCCGAATTCCCAGGATTTCCCCGAATTCCCAGGATTTCCCCGAATTCCCAGGATTTCCCCGAATTCCCAGGATTTCCCCGAATTCCCAGGATTTCCCCGAATTCCCAGGATTTCCCCGAATTCCCAGGATTTCC